CAAATACCATATGTTTGCACGTATAGGAGGATTAGGAGGAACTTGACGGAGGACCAAGGGGGAGAAGAAGGGCGGAAATGGTGGGGGAAAGGGAGAGAGGCAAACCATGAGAGACTCTTGAATGCTGACAAAAACTGAGGACTGATGGATGTGGGGGGGAGGGGGGGATGGGCATGAAGGAGGGCACTTTGGGGATGAGCACTGAGTGTTATGTAGAAACTAATTTGACAATAAACTATTTGTAAAAAAAATAATAATAATAATAAAAATTAAAAAAAATAAATAAAAATAAAAAAAATAAAATTAAAAAAAAAAAAAAGAAATGAGGAGAGCAAAATAAAATCAAAGCCATCAGAAGGAAAACTACAAAACAGCAGAGCAAAAATCCATGACATAGAAACAGAAAAATAATAGGTAAAATCAAGGAAGCTGAAAGCTAGCTCTTTGAAGACAGAAATGATCAGAATCAGGAATAAAGAAGGGACATTGTTGTTGACCCTACAGAAATTAAAAGGATTATGAGAACATATTATGAACTTTATCCCAACAAAGGAGACAACTTAGATGAAACAGGCAAATTCCCAGGAAGATCCAATTGTGTAGAAATATACAGATTCCTCAAGACAAATGAAATGCTGACAAAGATACATAATAGATTCGAGAAAACATAGAAAATCTGATAAACGTTCTAACAAATAAGTAAATTGAATTTGTAAATAAAACCTTTGCCAGAAAGAGAAGCCAACGTCCACATGGCTTTGCTGAAAAAATATTTAAAGATGAAATAATACCAATATTTTCCATGCACTTTCAGAAAATGCAGAAGGTGGCCCTTGCTAACTCATCCTTTGAGAACTCATGCTCCCCTAATGCCAAAGGAAGCAAAGACAACACATGACAATACAGCAAATATGCCTCATAGACATGAGTATAAAACCTCAGCAAATTATTAACAAACCAAATTCAACAGCATATGGAAAGGATTATATACCATTACTCAAGGGGTATTTATTTAATATCTGACAATCACCAAATGTGATACACTATATGAATAGAATTAGAGACAAACCCCTCACATTCACTTTAGTAGACATAGAAAAGCATTTGAAACAAATCCAACCCCCATTCTTCATTTTTTTTAAAATTGGCAGACAAGGGAAACTTCTCAACTTGAAAAAAAGCATCTACAAAAATCATAAAGAAAACATCATACTTAATGACTAAATACTCTTCCTCTTAAAATTAGAAACAGAAATGATGCCCAGTCTTCCAACTTCTATTCAACATTGCATTGGAGATTCCAGCCAGTGCAATAAGGAAAATAAATTAAAGGCATTCAGAGAAGAAGTCCAAAAAGGAATACAGAAGCCTCCTGTTTTCATTCACAGATCACATGACACCATATGTAGAAATTTCTAAGGAATCCACATCCTCTACCCAAAACTTATTGGAACAAATAAATGATTTAGCAAAGTTGCAGAACACAAGGTCAATATCCAATAGTAGGTACAGTCCTGCTTCGTATCTCCTGCCCTTAATTTAAGAGATTTTTCTTAGCTTCAACAAATGGTTCCATGACCATCCATTTAAGAAAAGGAAAAAGAAAAATTTAAGAATAATTTGGATTTGAGAAATTTGATTTTACATAATGACCACCTGAAAAATAAATATTTCCCCATTCTGATGTTTGCAGAGGCCCTGCAAAGTTAAGAACAATTGTCAAAATCATTGCTAACAGCTGGTCTACATCGTGATTAGATGCAGACAGTGACATTAGACAATATCTTTCCCCCGTCCCCAGACACAGGCTTCCAGGTCTCCTTGTGAGACTTACCACTCTGTATGTAGATTTCACGGGCTGCAGAACATCCCCAAAATTTCTGCCAAGTGGTGCTCTATCCACAATATTGGGAATTAATGAGGCTATCAGTTGTTTGAAATATGGAGGCTCTGGACCACTGCTCAGGTTGGCTACTGTGTCCTAGAACAGAGAGCATTTGCTTAAGGAGCACACAATGTCGAGTCAAAGCCCTTTTCCCCAGGCTTCCACCTCCCAGAAATGGCTTCATTACAGGAAACACACACACACACACACATCCTCGATCCAAGAGTTAACAGCTTTAACAAGATGTGGGGGAACCTTGCTAAGATGTGAGTCTAGATGTTTTGAACTTTTGCTGCTAGAGAAAATTTTGGGTCATAGACAAACTTTCACTACCACCCCCCAGCCCCCCACCAAGGGAATATAGTTCAGCGATCAGAGTATAAGCACTACTCAGGGTTAGATTCCAGACAGCCATTTTTTAAGCATGTGACTTTGGATAGGAGCCAACATATCATAAGCTCTTTTAATTTTTAAAAACTGTTGTATCTCTCTTACCAGAGTCAGTACCAAGTTTTCTTTTTTTTTTCTAGACCCTTCTCTGTGCTAATTAAAAAATATACACACTCTTTTAACTTAAAAGTTAAGATCAGCATATATCCTGACTGGTTTAACTATGTTTTCCACATTTGTCACTTTTAATAGTATCATTGCAATGTTGATCTCAAATTTTTTAAATGTTTTATTTATTTCTGAGAGAGAGGGAGAGAGAGGCAGCATGAGCAGGGGAGGGTCGGAGAGAGAGGGAGACACAGAATCTGAAGCAGGCTCCAGGCTCTGAGCTGTCAGCACAGAGCCTGACGCGGGGCTAGAACCCATGAACCGTTAGATCATGACCTGAGCCGAAGTTGGACGCTTAACTGACTGAGCCACCCAGGTGCCCCATTGGTCTCAAATTTTTAGTAGTCCTTCATAATGTACTCTAATCCTCACTTTATGTATTTAATCTTTTTCAATGGCCATAGCATCTGTTTATTGGCATTCCCATTTTGCAAATGGGAAAATTGACTTGGAGATATTCAGTATTCTTTTTCAAGATCACATAGCTAATCTTAGATACAGACCCATAAAATCGACTGTGACACAAATTTCTACAAAATGAACCACACTTTCTTCCTAAGTATCACTATAAAACTTGAAGACTCTATTTCAATGGGAGGAACTGTAGACGTGCAGTTATAATGAAAGTGAAAACAGAGGCCATCTCTCAGGGTGGGTTAGGGGTTCCTACTTTCCTGTATCATCTGAATATTCTATAACCAGTTACAGCCTTTATGATGAACATCAAAACAGTTCTACTTTGACAAAAGAGTACCAGACCTGAAACTGAAGGAGTGTTATGATAATACAATAAGGGGGTAATAGACCCTAAGTAAATACCTTGTACCGAAACTTCACATGGTCAGTGATTAGGTGGAGGCATATGGAATTGCCAATATTCAACTTTTTTTTTAATGTTTTATTTATTTCTAGGAGAGACAGAGACAGCGTGAACAGGGGAGGGTCAGAGAGAGAGGGAGTCACAGACTGAAACAGGCTCCAGGCTCAGAGCTGGCAATCAGCAAAGAGCCCGACGCGGGGCTCGAACCCACAAACCGCGAGATCATGACCTGAGCGAAAGTCGGACGCTTAACCGACTAAGCCACCCAGGCGCCCCGCCAATATTCAACTTTTTGAGCCACAGAAACAGCCATTTCATTGTTTCAACTCGCTCTGACCAAGCTTTTTCCCTGAAAAGGCTTTATTATCTACGCTATGCCCTAATTCTTTCTCAGCCTTTATTGGGCTTATGTGGTATCATATAAAGATCTGTTTATTATTTTATGCCCTTTATCCTGCTTGTTGAGTTATTTTCTGGCAGGATAGTCAGCTTCATTAATAACTGCATCCCAAAGGAAGATGTCCACAGTGGAGTTCTTTTAAGGAAACTTGTTTAGATGTACCTACTCTAGGTAGACGTGTGTGTATGCACATTCCAGGGTACTTGCTGTATTTTCATCACATCTAAACTTCTATTGATTATAGCAACTATTGTTTTTGAACTACCAAGAAAGTAAAAACATGCTACCAATTTTAACCATAAGATTCCTGTGATCAGAAGGTACAGCCCAATTCCAGAGATGTTACAATATGGAAAATGGGCATCTCAGAAGGAATATCCCACTCAACTCATGAAGTCATTGGAAGGACAACCGCTGGGACTCGAAAACACTGGTTCAAACTCCCAGCTGCAGTTAAAGTGAGCCTGATGAGTTATCACCTCTAAACCAATTTGCTTATCTGTAAAGGGGGAATGATACTGCCATATTCCCATGACAATCATGAGGATAGCATGAGATAATATACATGCTCAAAGCTATCATCACCAAAAGATATTAACTGAATCTGAATTTCCTGTCAGTTTCATTTCTTATAGATACCTCATAACTACAAACTTTTTAAATATAAAGGTTTTGAAGAAACTGAACATTTGCAGCTAAGGTTTTCTTTGGCTTCCCTCTGCCTCTCCCCACCCGAGACACACACATACACACGCACACACACAAGCGCACACAGGTGTATTAGTTTTGGTTACCATAGCAATGGCCTTAGCAAGGGCTCTGAAGAGCTGGATGTAAGCAGACAGGGTGTGTGGTCCATAAATTGTAGAGGCTGCCTCGTACCGCTGAGCCTGCAAGAGAGGCAGGGCTGAGTTTTATACCGTTCTACATATCTCAATCCATTTTCAGAGGGCCCACGTCTTTGGTGAGGGGTGATTTTGGACAGCTCACATAATTCAAACTGGCCTAATCCAAGATTTAATTATGACCAAGGAGGAGACTTTTGCATATACCAGTTACAGTAAATGGCTCCCGTCCGCTAGTTGTTAAAGGCAATGGCTTCTCTTGGCTTCTGGTATTTGGACTGACCAGTCCATCTACTCTGAAAGAGGGAAACGGCTCCTAAGCTGAAGTCTATTTTAAGTATTTGTTATATAAATGTTTGCCCTGAAGGAGCATAGCAGGAGGGGGGGAAATGAGGGAAAATGAGAATCTCAGGGACTCCTGGAGCAAATGGGTAGTAGTGGTGCTGACTGGAGAAGGACATTTAACCATCATGGAGCTATAAAATAGCTCCTCTCCTTTAGCTGAGCTGCAAGCCTTAGGTTTTTCCACAGGAACCTCAGACTCCTCAAATCGAAAGTGGGTCCTATCACTCCAAATATACCTCCCTCCCTGCAACATTCTCCATCTCAGTGAACGCTCCCTCCTTCACCAGTGTAGACACCTCACCCTGCCTCATCCTACATCCTCTGAGTCCCCAAGCTACTATTACCTGGAATCCCTTGAACTCTCTGTCTCTCCTGATTTTACTGTGGCCAAACCCTTGGCTCTCACCCAGATCGTAACGACCACTTCCTAATCAGTTCTCTGCCTCCACACTTAATCTTCCAATTGAGTTTTCTACACTGCCATCTTAGTGACCTTTCTAGATCACAAACTTGATCAGAACACTCCTCCCTTGGAATGAATTCTACTGGACTTTCCAAAGCCTTCCTTATTGACGTAAATTTCGATGGCATAGGATAAAGGATGCTCACTCAACCCATCCTCCTCCATCAATTAGTCCCTGTCTCGCTGCCCTCAACCAACTGTGGCCTCACAAATGTACTAACTCAGTGCCCCTGGACCTTGCATGCATAGCTTCCTCAATATGAACCTCCTTATTCACTTTCATTTGCCTAACTAGTCCTTACTCATTCTCAAGAACTCCCACAGATGTTACAACTTCCAGAAAATCTGCCAATCTCCATTCCTCAAAGACCTAATATAGACTAATGCACTTCCCCTTTGTTTTCATATCACCCTCTGCATCCCTTTTACAGAACTGTAATTACCTGCTCTTCTCTGTCTTTCACTAGACCATAAGCCCTAGTAATCTTAAGGGTAGAGGCATATTTTTACATATTGTTAAGGCCAGATAGTGGCTAGTACAGTATCTGTCACAACACATATCTATTGAATAAATTAGTGAATAAATTAATTAATATTAATCCGTATAGGAGCCTGTCCCTAAGAGAAGCTAGAAGGCGTTCCTAACCTTATTTGTGCCATTGGATTCCTTTGGCTGTCTGTTGAGGCCTATGGACCCCTCTCAGAGTAAATGTTTCTAAATGTATAAAACAAAATACATGGTTGACAAAGAAAATCAATTAGACTGACAGATATTAGTCAAACATTAATAAAACATTTTTGTGATAACATGTTTGTTCTTCTTCATTGAATAACAAGTTTGTGCTTCTTGACTGAGTAATAAGATCTAGTAGCAGATCTAATAACTGCTGTGATTTTAAAATAGCAATGAGAGTGAAATATTTCCAAATCAGCAATAACTCTATGTGATACAAAAAGCATCTGTGGTTCCCATCGGTGACAAAGTCAGAGGCACTGCTAGTATTATTGTCGTTTGATACCTACATTCATAATGGAAGGAAATACTAAGTTAACAGTTACAGAGAAATGAAACGCTGGATAAATGAAAATTATTCACATCCAAGCGTACCCCAGTTAGGAATATTTATTCAACAGGATTTCCTAAAAGGCAGGGACTTTCAGGAAAGTCAGCAGAGGGGAGTGGGGCAGAGCCCCTTGCTGGCATCACTGGACGTTTGTCAAGGAGCAGACTGAATCCCTCCACGTGCACTGCCAAGATATGCCAGCACCCACATTTGTTACCAATGCCCCCGAAAAAATAACTTCTTTCAGAAAAAGTAGAGTTCAGTGAGACGAGAATTCTGGAAATTCTTGGAAATTCTTAGAAAGGGCAAACTCCCAGAGACAACCTCTGGCTTATCCTTCTCTCATCTGTCCCCAAACAAAATCACCTCTCAAAAACATCTCTAAGGAAGTCTAGAAAGAAAACCTGCATTTGACACAACAGTCTTGATGAGGGTATGGTTCATTGGAATGATGAGAACTTTTTTACCTTACCTGGTATTCTTCAAAGGTGGTAATATAATGTGTATACACATTGCACAGGCCTGAAATAACAGCAGTCATATTCTGCATCCCATGGGTTGCAAATTCCTGGTTGGGGAAAGGTAGCATCCAACAAAATTACTCTTCTTTGTAGTGTATGCTCTCAGTCCAGTTACACTTAACATACAATCATAGATGTGAATCAGTAGTGGAAGAGGTCTTTCTTAACATCATTCCTAATGATCAAAACTGCTTGGGGAAGCCAAGGACCAATGAGGGCTTGGGGGAAAGTTAGAGCCATAATGGCACTACAGTCGGGCAAGTCAGTGGATCTATGAACATCTCAGTGATTGGATTTGCAGATATAGAATCTTCTTATTACTAAAATACAGACACTAAATCCATTTCCTAAACAAGTATAATAGGAGGATACTAGCTAACCGTAGTGGTTATTTCCAGCTCCAAATATGATTAGGTCATTTTATTTTTTTTTTAATTTTTTTTAAATGTTTTATTTATTTCTAGGAGAGAGAGAGAGACAGCGTGAGCAGGGGAGGGCCAGAGAGAGAGGGAGTCACAGACTGAAACAGGCTCCAGGCTCTGAGCTGGCAGTCGGCACAGAGCCCGACGCGGGGCTCGAACCCACGAACCGCGAGATCATGACCTAAGGGAAAGTCGGACGCTTAACCGACTAAGCCACCCACGCGCCCCAGATTAGGTCATTTTAAAACCATCTACAATACTTCCTGAATAGGAAGAAAATCAGAAATACAGATAAAATACAGAACTCCTAACATGGATTAGATTTTATTTAGACAGGACTTCAAGATATTAAGGTATATAGAGTTATTTACTATTTAATCCATAAAATATTATCGATTTTAAATTATTAATATGCAATGTTAATAAATATTAATATGTTGCATTATATTAATATTATATATTAATAAAATATTTAAACCAGATTATCATTTCCTTGTCATTTTTAAGCTTATTTTTATACTACTAATATTTCATATTCGCCTCTATGCATTACTTTCAAGTAGTGTGAAACTCTAGGCATCTTAGCAACAATTAATTTTAAAGGTTTCAGATCATAGGATTAGGGAATTCTTTTCTCTTCCTCAAATATAAATGCAGACATATTTTATTTCATTCTTAACTTACTGCTTGAACTGCCTCTCGAAGTCTTCGTCCAGACATGGTCCTGAGTCAAGAAAACAAAATTATCTAAGTGTTTCCCGACTCTGAACGCATGCAAAGAACACAGAACTTGCAGTGAAAGAAAAATGTGATCTTGGCTCATAAGATAATGTGGTAAGGGGCATACAAGCTCTATGACGAGGCAGAACTAAAGTTGAGCTCCTTTTCCCTAGCTCTCCTGTCTTCAGAACAAATCCTCAACTAAAGACAGACAACTTGAAGGAAGGAAAGGGCATCAGTGAATATCACTGGCAAAGACTACAATCATTTTCCATCCGATGATTCAACAAAATTATACCCTTTGTGTTCAATGTTGGTAAGAACTGAGGCAAGTTCAGAATGTACGTGCTCCTGCCTACAAAGAATTTTTCATTTCATTCCTTCATTGAATCCTTAATAAAACACAGCATCTGCTACATAAGTGGCCCCCTTCTAAGAATTCAAGCAAAGCAACAGATGAATAAAAGCAAGAAGCAAATAAAGTCAACAAGCAAATAAAAGAAGTGGCAATAATTGCTACAGGGACCATAAAGCAGAGTAAGGGTGAAAGGGCAATGGTGGCGGTCCTTGTAATGAGGAGGAGACATGGTGGAGGTGGTGGGTGAGGACAGTTGGACTGGCATCTCTGTTACAGATCTGAACAAAGAACTGAAGGAATAAAAGAGTCAGTCATGGGGATAAAAGGAGGGTCAGGCTTTCATGCAGAAGGAACCTTAAGTTCCTAAGCCCTAAGACAAGAGCATGCTTGGTGGTCTGGGAAATGAAGCAAAGGAGGGGTGAGTAAGAGGGAGAGGGGTAGGAAATCAGAGAGGTTGCAGAGGGTAAAATCACACAGGGCCCTGTAGGATGTTGTAAGGGTTTAAGAGTTGACCTGGAGTGGGATGGGAACCCACTGGAGGGGTTTGAGCCCTGACATGATGTAAGTTATGTTTTAAAGGGTTTTCTCCAAGCAAAGTGTCAAGAAAAGGTTATAGTGGAGTAAGAGACACAGGAAAGGGTTGACACAGGAATCTCGGGGAGAGATTACAGTGGCACAGACCAGGGAGAGGGCGATAGAAACTGTTGGGTAGATGGTGCAGAATTTGCTGCAAGATGGGAAGGGGGAGGGGAGGGGAATTGAAAAAAAGAGAGAATTCAGGGATGACTCCAAGCTTTAGGGCCTGAGAAACTGGAAAGATATAAATTTGCTACTTACTAAGACAGGGAAGACTGCATAAGGATTTAAAACAATCTTTCCCACTTCGAATAAGTCAACTGATTGTTTCAAGTATTTGTATTTTGATACAATTTCAAGTCTTTCTACTGACACATCACATCATGTCCATTTGGAACGATAAGTTTTCAAATGCTCATGTTTGCTACTATTTACCCCCTAGTAACACACACAGAAAGAGTTATTCTTCAGAGGCCCACCCAAAGAGGGTTGAGATATTTGTCACCATTCCCAGTGGTTGGGATATTTGTCGCCATTACCAGTATGTATAACACAAAGGAGCCAGCACAGAATGATCTCCGATGAGAAGAAGCGATTGCAACACAAACACATACACAGTCATTACAGTTTTAACCACAAAGTAACAAAGAAAACTTACGTAAACTCCCCAGGGATGGCAACTATGGCCAAGGACCCAACAGTGATCATCTGAACATCAACAATCTCTGGGTGCCACGGATGCGGTTTTGTCAGCTAAGAACCCAAAACATGAAAACTGTGTTAAAAGGATGTGGTCCTTTCTGTAGTCAAGAGACAGATGATGCTCACAGTTTCCTTTATCACAGGATTTGAAATATTTCCAGCTGGCTTTGGTGCTTTCTCCTCTTAGCATAGATTTTCTTTCTAATTAATGAGATCGTGTTCAATATTCTATCTGGGCATAATATATGGATCTCAAATGCCAATGCACCATTAACCAGAACTTACTTCCTCATCGGTAAATATTTTGGTGGATCTGGCATGAGGGTCACAATGTGTCACAGGTAACCAGAGAGGACTGTGCAGGATGAATAACAATTCTACCAGCACGGGAAGAGCTTAATGATTAATGATTAACTCAATGATTTCCCTTTTTAGTCCTGTTACCAAGTCTTGCCTTCCTTTCCAAGTTTTCTCCAAGACAATCTATCCTTTTCCATAGTCAGATTAGTGCAGAAGCTTTCCCTCTATCCCTTCCGTTCCTTTCTTTCTTCTTCCTGAAGAATTCTAATTGAATATTAGGGGGAAAACACACGATTTAAAATTTTTCCTTTCTCAACAATTTTTATTATGAACCCTAGCATGAAGTTTTGACAATTAGAATGTGAAAATTCATGGTCCAAAGCAGTATTAAAAGAATATTGCTTTAGTTAATCAAGTTGCCTGAATTGTGAGAAAATGGGGACATGAACTTGTCTTTTTTTTTTTTTACAGGACCTGAGTTGTTTTTCTCTGCAGAGAACTGTGTATGAACTCCTTTCAGGAGTCAACATCAATGAATCCTGAATAAGATAGATTTTTGTCTAATTCTTCCTTTTCCACTGTTTTAACTGTTCCAGTTATTTATCATAAATTCTAAGTCATGATATTTAGTAATAGTACTCCTTATTCCTTAGAGTGTGATTCTTAATATACATATTTTTAATATTAAAATTTAATGTGGGAATATCTGAATAAGAACACCCATGTCAACAAAGATCTATCATCTGTCTCTGACAATTCAGAAGTTTTAAAATAATAATAATATGCTAATTTTGCCATCATAGTCAAAATGTGTTACCTCTCCAGTGTGAAGAAGGATTGGCTTTGGTTTATGACAGTTTTTGATTTCTTCAGATGGCTTGCCCAGGAGCTGATCTCGAAGAGTGTCCCAAAATGGATCCCCTACTGTTGTCCCTATAGGGAATATTAAAACCAATTTGATTCCAATGCTCTGAAAAATGTCATCACTTTGACAAATGCAGAACAATACTTTTATTACAAAGATATGATTAAGGTGGTTGTCCACTAATTCCAAACAGTTTGATAAGAGAAGAGGAAAAATTTCCTGTGCTTCCTAAAATAGGAGTCATTATTTAATTAGATCCTTGGTGTGGCCGATAGGATAAAAGAATGTATTTTTCAACATCCTTAAGGTTTTATTTCCATCACTCCTCCTCATCCATGTAGTAAATAAAAACAAAATGATATAAGTAATTATAGATCAATGAACTAAATCTCTTATTTTCCCACTGTAGAAACAAAAAATGTCACCTCCAACTTGAAGTACTGATCATTTGGCTTGTGGTCCACAGAGAGAGCCTCTCTTAACTACCTGCTTAATTATCTACATGTGTGTGCACACACACAGACAGACACACACACACAGAGACACACAGTAAAAAAAAAAAATCTAAAAAACCTAAAAGCAACAATCTGGGGGAAAGTTATGTTAACTCTGAAGCCAATGAACTTAGGATCTATATTTCATTCGGAAAATATAACAATTATAAACATATATGGGCCTACTAACAGAGCCCAAAAATATATGAACCAAGACTGACAGAAATGGAGGGAGAAAGAGACAATCAATAATAGCTGGAGCTTTAATAACCCCACTTTTAGTAATATGGCTCAGTTGGTTCAGCATCCACCTTCTGCTCAGGTCATCATCTCTGGTTCGTGGGTTTGAGCCCTACATTGGGCTCTATGATGACAGCTCAGAGCCTGGAGTCTGCTTCAGACTCTGTGTCTCCTTCCCTCTGCCCCTCCCCCACTCACACTCTGTCTCTCTCTCCCTCTCAAAAATAAACATTAAAAAAAGCAATAACCCCACTTTCAGTAATAGAGGGGACAACACATCAGAAGATCAACATCAGAAAACGTGAGCAACACTAGAGCCAAGTGGACCTAATAGGTACCTGCAGATGCATCCATCCACAGAACAAGAACATAACAATCACTCTGTGCAAGTGCATACAGAGAGCGTCTAGGATAGACTATAGGCTGACCATGAAACAAATGCCAGTAAACTTCAAAGGTATAAATAATGCAAAGTATGTTTTACAATCACAATGTGATAACATTAGGAATAAATAACAGAAGAAAATTGGGGAGACTCACAAATACATGGAAATTAAGCAACACGATCATAAATGGATAGTGGTCAAGGAAGAAATTAAAAGAAAATATGAAAGCCCTTTCCGATAAATGCAAGTAAAGACACCATTTACCAAAAGTGATGGGATGTGGTGAAAGAAGTGCATGGAGGGAAATGTATAGATTTAAATGCCCAGATTAAGAAAAAAGAGGAGAGTGACATTGCAAGAAGGCAAAGTAGAAAATATGAGTCTTTGTCTCCCCACAGAAAACAATAATTAGCTAGTCGCAAGTGAAAATAGTCCTGGGAGGGCTCAAGAGACCAATTAAGAGCCTATGGAGCCAAAGATGGAATAACCACCCAGAAATGATCACTGGAAGGATGACCTGAGCAGAAACAGCTAGGAACAAAGAAGAAGCATAAAGACTCAGTATCAGCCATATAGCAGGTGCCATCACAGTGCCCAGTGGCCCACTCCATGGAGGACCCCAGCAGGAATTGCCAGTCACCAGCCCCCAAGAAAGGCTTCCAGAGGTTTTTACAGTAAAGGGCCCTGGACTCTACACTGGCACAGACCCAAGCAGCCTGCTCCACAGAGGACACCGGCAGCTTTTGTGACTGAGGTAACCAGTGGCCATCACGGACTCCCCTACCCCAGGGGAGAAAGAGCACTCTTCCTCACCCATAAAGAGCTGCCACTGCATCACCCTGGGACCAAAATTGTCAGCCCCCATGCCCAGCCCCACGTGTGCCCCTGACCCACAGCTGCACCTGCTCCATCCACACCCGTTTAAGAACACAATGCTGTGCCAGCGCTACGTGTACCTGTGCTCCAGACCTTGGGTCTGCAGCTGCTCTGTGTGTACCTGAAGCTCAGGCACTGGGACCACCACCACTGCAGGCCATCCTGGACCTCAGAGGCACTGTCTCCTGCAAGCACCTGTGCTCCAATCCGCAGTTCTGTAGCTGTTGCACAGGTACCCACACATCAGGCACAGAACCGCTACTGCTACTGTGAAGCCAGTGTCCTGGACCCTGGCTGCCCTTGCTCCATGAGCACCCATGCTCCAGATGTCAGGGCTGTCACTGGTCCATGGGCATTCATGCCTCAGCCACCAGTGCCACCACTCCTGTGAGGGCACCTGCAAGCCAAACCTAGCCCCCAGAGAGATCCACTCAGCTGTGACATTCCCTGAGTGGGGGGAAGATCAGGAGAATTTCAGCAGAAGCCTCGAGATCCTAATAGCATTGATGGCAGCTGAAGACACCCATAGCCTTGGCTTTTAAGGACCCGTGCTATCTTCACCCACACTGACCTAAGCTGAGAGATCTACATGGAGAACATGCCAGTAGGCCCACCCTGGATGTGGAACTGCCACAGCTCACCCATCCAATGTACCTGCGCACACCCATGGACAAAGGTCTTTCCCCCCCACAACCAGTCTGCAAAGTCTAAAAGAGGTGACCGCTCTAGCAAATACACAGAAAAAACTCGAGAAAACCACAAAAATCAAGGAAACATGACACCACCAACAGAACACAATTTTCCAATAACTGATCCCAAAGAAATGAAGATCTATGAAAAGCCAAATAATTCAAAATAATTTTTAAGAAAGCTCAACAAGCTACAAGAGAACATAGCTAGACAACTTAACAAAATCAGAGAAACCTCATATAAATAAAATGAAAAGTTCATCAGAGAGACAAAAATCATTTAAAAAAAAAACAGAAATTCTAGAGCTGAAGAATATGGTGAATGAAATGACAACACATTAGAGCATGTCAATAGCAGATCTGGTCAAGGAGAAGAAACAATCTGTCAATTCAAAGACAAGTCATTTAAAATTATCTAATTAGAGGAGGAAAAACAATTAAGAAGAGTGAAGGAAGCCTACATGAACTATGGAACACAAAATGCTAAAGGGAGCTTTTCCAAACTAAAATACAATGATGCTATTAGTACATAAAATATATGATAGTATAAAACTTCCTGGTAAAGGTGAGTAGATAATCAAAATAAGAGTACTCTAATTCTATAATGATAGTGTATAAATCACAGAACTCTGGTATGAAGGTTAAAAGACAAAAGTATTAAAAATAACTAAGGCAACAGTAACTTGTTAATGGACACATGATACAAAAAGATGCAAATTGTGACATCAAAAACAAAAAATATGGGAAGAGGAGATAAGAGGGTAGTTATTTTATGCAATAAAAGTTAAATTACCAGCTTAAAATAGATTGTTATAATGATAACATGTCTTATGTAAACCTCATGGTAACCAGAAAGCAAATACCTATAGTAGATATACAAAACATAAAGGAATCAAAGCATGCCACTGTTGAAAATCATCAAATCACAGAGACAAATAAAGGAACAAGGTTCTACAAAACAGCCAGAAAACAATAAGATAGCATTAATTAAGTCCTTAACTTCAAATAATTACTCTAAATGTAAGTGGATTAAATTCTCCACACAGAAGGTATAGAGTGATTGAATGGGGGGAAACGACCTGACTATATGCAGCCTACAAGAGTCTCATTTCAGCTTTAAGAACACACATAGGCTTGGGGCACCTGGGTGGCTCAGTTGGTTAAGCATCTGACTTTGGCTCAGGTCATGATCTCACAGTTTGTGGGTTCGACTCCCACATAGGTCTCTGTGCTGACATCTTGGAGCCTGGAGCCTGCTTTGGATTCTGTGTCTCGCTCTCTCTCTGCCCCTACCCAGCTCATGCACTGTCTCTCTCTCTATCTCTCTCTCCATCTCTCAAAACTAAATAAACATTTAAAAAAAGAACACACATAGTCTTAAAAAAAAAAAAAAGAATAGACTTAAAGAGATGGAAAAGTATATTCCATGTAAATAGAAACCAAAAGTGAGTAGGAGCCTGTTCACAACAGACAAAACAGATATTAAATATAAAACTGTAACAAGAGACAAAGAAGGTCATCATATAATGATAAATGGGTAATTCATCAAGATGATATAACAATTATAAATATTTATGCCTTCAATATTGGAGCACCTAAATATATAAAACAAAGATGAAAAGATATGAAGGGAGAAAATGAACATTACAATAATAGTAGAGAAGCAATGTTTTTATTTTTTACCCCACTTTTAACAATGAAGAGATCATCCTGACAAAAAATCAACAATGAAACATTGGACTTGAACCACACCTTAGACCAAATGGACCCAACAGACGTATATAGAACATTTCACCCAACAGCAACAGAATACATATTCTTCTCAAGTGCACATGATACTCTCCAGAATGGATCATATGCTAGGTAACAAAACAAGCCATAATAAAGTTAGAAGACTGAAATCATACAGTTATCTTTCCTACTAAAACCAGAAACCAAATAAGAGAAAAACTGGGAAATTTGCAAATATGCAGAGATTAAGCAACACACTCCTGAACAACTAAGAGGTCAAAGAAGAAATCAAACGGGAAATAACAAATATCCCAACTGTATTCATTAATTTGTTAATTACTGGTTCTGGAATATACACATATAAAAGGCAAGAATGGAAGCAGCCAAAATGTTCCCTATAAGTGATACTCATCCATTTTTCCACTTTCTCTATGTTACAGTGCATGTTATATTACAGAGATGATCAGGACGAAACCTATAATAATCAGTTATAAATGTGTGGACATACAAGAACAAGAACGGACACCCCATGTTTGGGCTCCAGAATGCCTCTGCCCTGAGGACTTTGTGCTTCAATAAAGGAACCAGAGAAAGAAGCAGAGTGAACTCATATTGTTGAAGGTCAAAGACAATCCCACTCTGTGCTCCTCCAAACCCCACCCTCACCCCAGTTCCATTAAAAACCATTCATCCAGGGGCACCTGAGTGGCTCAGTCAGTTAAGCCTCCGACTTAAGCTCAGGTCATGATCTCACAGTTTGTGGGTTCATGGCCCACATTGGGCTCTGTACTGACAGCTCAGAGCCTGGAGCCTGCTTTGGATCTATGTCTCCCTCTCTCTCTGCCCTTCCCTGCTTACACTCTGTTTCTCTCTTTCAAAAATAAACATTTAAAAAAATCCATCCACACACTGTGAAATGCAAAGAAAAGCTGTCTTACGTTCTATTTGAACCCATGGAGGCTAACTTCCAGAAGACACCCATCCCTGGGAAATGTGACTATCGTGTGCACACCTGGAAAGTGTGCACACCCCTGAGTTTAAAGATAATAGTAAAAAATAACAAATGTATTGGCTGCGATGAAACCCTTCAGAACCTGGAGGCTTCAGACCCCAGAACCCCAGATGTCATCAGAGGGCACCTCACCCTGAGTGAAGTTGAAGCTCCCAAACCCGTCGATTGTGCCAGCTGCGAAACTGTAGCCCAGTGCCGGTTTGCACGTTTTTGCCTAAAGGCAAAAACAACACAAAGGTAAAAAGTAAACAAAGCAAGAAACAGAAGTCAAAATTCCTGTAAGTAATGAGATCAGCCCAGAGCTTTCCCCTTGTGGCATAATCAGCGTGGCTCAGCGACACTTACCGTGTGTGTGGAGTTGAGCCAGACGGTGATGTTGGACATATTCACCCACTGATGAGCCGCTGCCAGTGGCCCGGTGACCTCCTGGGAGGCGGAGGCGTACAGTTCCTAGAAAACCCACATAGGCTCACTGATAACCGGAAGAGCTAAAATGAGTAGTGCCAATTGCACCCCATCAGCTCCAGTTTGGAAAAGCATCTCTCAGCCAAGTTTTGGTTTGCCGGCTGCTTAGAAATGGCCACTACCCACGTGGGTCTCTCTGCCAAATCCAGTTGCTTCCCAGACTCATGGAGGCCCTGAGACCATTGACCTGTGCTTACTCCCCACAAAGATGAAAGTCTAGTGAGAGCCTGTAGCACAGAAAGGCCTCAATCTCACTTGAAAGACAGTCAAGAAAATTTAAGATTAGGAATAGTTGGGCCCATCACTGTCTTCACCAGGAGAGCTTACCCTCAGGGACTCTCTGAGCGAGTTCCTTGCCACCAAGGGCAGCTGGGAAGCCGTCTTGCCCCACCCACCATCTGTGCTTTGCAGTTCTGTTCTGTTCTGTTTTGCTTTGTTTTCCTGCAGGGTGAATTGGTGCTTTCTTAACCTTACAAGGAAATGGGAGTCCTCGTGTTTGGAAATGTTGGTTCGTACAGATGTGCAGCAGACATGGCAGGCCGGTCCTGCCTCAGCACATGCCCCTTTCCTTGACACCTGACTGTCCCCACTCTGTCCCCATCATCCATTCTACAGTCACGTGGGGGCTCTGGAGGGGGGATTGTCAGTAACACCACCTGCAGTCTGTCTTTCTGATGAAGACCCGAGGTGTGCCTTGCTGAGAAGAGTTTCCAGAATGTGAGACAAATCCCTGTGACCCCCGGGCCCCAAAGAGTAACACTGAGGTGTGTCACGGGTGCAGACCCTAAATAGAATCTGTTAATTTAGAGCAATCCACCGATGATACCATCGGAATTATAAAGGAACTGCAGCAATTAGGCTGCTGTCTAATGTTTTTAAAGGTGCTTTTGTTCTTCCTTAACTGCTCCTGAAACATTTTAGAACCTTTGGAGAAAATAATTACTTAAACATATGCACGTGCACGCCACAGCAAAGGTATGACTGAGCCGTGCAAAGGGAGGGATTTAACTATGGGAGATACCACAGCCTGACGTCATCTTTTATTTTTTTTATGTTTATTTATTTTTGAGAGAGAGAGAGAGAGACAGATTAGAGGGCGAGTGGGGGAGGGCAAAGAGAGAGGGAGACACATAAGCTGAAGCAGGCTTCAGGCTCTGAGCTGTCAGCACAGAGCCCAGCAAAGAACTTGAACCCACAAACCATGAGATCATGACCTGAGCCGAAGTTGGACACTTAACCGACTAAGCCACCCAGGTGCACTATCCTTTGTCTTTTCAATCAGACATCTGGGGCACCTGGGTGGCTCAGCCAATTAAGCACCTGACTTCAGCTCAGGTCATCATTTCACAGTTCATGGGTTCGAGCCCCACGTCGGGCTCTGAGCACACAGCACGGAGCTTCCTTGGGATTCTCTCCCTCGGTCTCTGCCCCTTCCCTACTAGCACTTTCTCTCTCTTTCAAAATAAACAAGTTAAAAGAAATATCTGATTATCTGTATCCATAGGAGCTGACACAAAATATGGGGGTTACAGGGAATGGAAGACACAGTTTAGCAGAAGGAGAAGCACAGAGCAACTGCTCATAATCTCACTGAAGACCAGATTCTGTCCTCATCAAAAAATGTTTTAAAAAGGAAAGAGAAGAAAACACAAGATGGATAGTTTATGCCACCTTGAAGACAAGGAATCCATTGGAATCTGAATTGCCAGAGTAGCGGGCGAACAGCTCAGCTTTGCCTTGACATTGAGGGCATCAAGCATGGCCAGGCGGCGGGGAGGGTTTGGATCGGTCTGGTCATGCCTGGCACCATGTTACCTGGAATATTTTCACAATCTGTCACCATGCTGCCACCACTGGGGCAAGCACTCTGGCTCAAACAGAATGTTTCCCTGCCTCGTTGGTTTTAAAACCACTTCCTCTCAGAAGTCAGAGGAGCAGTCAGAGCGGGGTTCCTGTGCTCTGGGGAGCAGCCTTCCTGGGTGCTGGAACAGTGCTCTTCCAGCCTCCAGGGCAGCGAGAGCTCCTGCTGTCCCTTACCGTCACCGTCACCGACTCTGTAAGAAGCGCCGTGCATGGATTCGAAAGAACTAGGTTAAGTGAAGGTGAAAGAAGCCAGGCCCACGGCTGACCTTTGCTCTCTGATAGATGATCCCTCCGATAATCTGCGTGCTGTTGAGCATGTCGTGTCCGGGTCCTGAAGCGACGCACATGCTAGACTATAACACGGGCAGACAAGACCGGCTCTTAGTGAAAGAAGCAATTATTTTAAGGAATGCAAAATCACAAGTGAGTCTGAGCAAATCAGAAACCCGCTCCCAGTTACGTTGGAGCACATCCATGGCCCTCTGGAGAAAGTCAGTATATACATCTGGCTCTATCTTTCACTTTTGACACCACGAAATTTGGAAATTGACCAGATACTTAAGTGTTATGACTGAAAATTTAAAAGTATTAAAGAAAATGTGGAAGAACACCTTCTTTATAACCTTTGATTCATCCCTACTGAGTTGCATTTTCTCTCATTTGTGGTGAAAAGCATCCTACATGTATATCAAAATTAACACATTGTGCGCCTTAAAATTATATAATGTTGTCTCTCAACTACATCTCAATAAATCTGGGAGGAAAAAAGCAAAAACAAAAAACCATTCCTCCTGGATACACAATAGAACACAGATGAAATAGGTAATTTGTAAAAAAGAAATGTAAATGTCCATTCAACATTAAAATATATTCAATCCTGCAAATAATTAAATACGCATTTAAACTATCAACAGAGAACTCTTTGCATATTGTGTTGGCAAAGACTGAGAGCTTGAAAAACTAGGTGTCAGGAGGCTTTGGGGACAGTCTCACTCACGCACTGTGGCTGGGGACAGAACTCGTGTGCGCCCCACGGGAGCTGGGCTTTCTCTTGAACCACAAATTTGCTTTTAAGAATTTGTCCTAAGGTGAAACTCATACACATGTGAAAATATGTATGACACGCATACTGACCATAGTATTTTTATGTGACAGAAGGAAAAAAGAGGGGAGAGAAGGGTGTGAAGGAAGAGAGGAGGGAAGGAAGGAAAATACTCATCAGTCATCAGTTTTTTCTCAGCATTCAAGAATCTCTCATGGTTTGGGAAGGAGGGGAAGGAGGGTGATGGGCATGGAGGAGGGCACTTGTGGGGATGAGCACTGGGTGCTATATGGAGACCAACTTGACAATAAACTATTTTTTAAAAAAAGAAGAAGCAAAATACCACGAAGGGATTGGTGAACTAATTTATGGAACTTAAAATTGAAAACTATGGCATTCGTTTAAAGTATATTCACTGTAGGGGCGCTAGGGTGGCTCAGTTGGTTAAACACCTGCCTCTTGAATTTGGCTCAGGTCATGATCCCAGGGTTATGGATTCAAGCCCCGTGTTGGGTTTCCTGGTGAACATGAAGCCCACTTGGGATTCTCTCTCTCCCTCGCCTTCTGCCCATCCTGTTTTCTCTCTCTCGCTTTCTCTCTTTCAAAATAAGTAAATACACTTAAAAAATAAAGTACATTCACTGGAAAAAAGAAAGCAGTTATAGAACAACATCACAATATAGCCTCGTTTATATACACCTGTACACGCATAGGCGCATGGACACAGAAAGGCCGTCTAGAAGGATGTTCAATGAAGTTTTAACAGGTTAATTGTGGAGTTCAAGGCTGCTCATTGACCTTCTTTATTTTCTGATCTTTTCAACATTGTTTGAGTTTTTAACAAGTCTTCATCTTTTTTTTTAATTAAAGCTGGTTTCTGAAGTTAAAAAAAAATCTGTTTAAAGAACCTACAGGAAAGCAAAAGATACAGCAACATGTGCCTATTTCCCTTTCTGTATCTGAAGTGAATCACGATTTTGTTCAAAAGGCCATCACTTCTTTTACAGTCAGTGATTCCATTCCCAGTGCAGGTAAGTCTAAGGTGACCATGGCAATTCCTGAGGCCTCGCCAAAGATGGGTCAGAAACCCCAGCGGGAGCCAGTCAGCACACCCCATTTCCCCAGCAACTGTTTCTGTCCAGGAATGGATATGTACATCACGTGACCCAATCAGAATGAAAAGAACTTTTATTCCAGGGTTAGAGAAAGGTTTTCTCTCTCTCCTACAGTATTTGGGGGGAGAAAAGAATCTACCATCCTGGGTACTGACTGACATATTGCAGTCACGAGGGAAACCAATCTAACAGATGGAACAGAATAGAGAGGAAGAGAATTCTGTTCTGAGAGAGGTGTGATTCTGTGGTCATTTTTAATGATTACAAAGTGTGCTCATTGTAGGAAAAAAAACCATAAAAGTGTATAAACAAAATAAAAATAATAAATATCAACACAATAAAAAAAACCCTATAATAACAATGCCAAACAGAGAAAACCAGGGTTAACAATTCGATGTGTTTCACTTTGTCTTTTCACTATGACACATTTATTTTCAAAAGTGCAATCATAATGAATATGCAATATTAAATCCTGATTTTCTTTTTTAAAATTCTTTAATGTTTGTTTATTCTTGAGAGAGAGGAATCAGAGCATGAGTCGGGGAGGGACAGAGAGAGAGAGGGAAACACAGAATCTGAAGCAGGCTCCAGGCTCCCAGCTGTCAGCACAGAGCCCATCACAGGGCTCAAACCCAGAACCATGAGATCATGATCTGAGCAGAAGTCACATGCTTAACCAACTGAGCCACCCAGGCACCCTAATGTTTATTTATTTTGAGAGACAGAGACAGAGAGAGAAAGGGAGAGAGAGAGAGAGAGAGAATGAGCAAGGGAGGGGCAGAGAGAGGAGAACAGAGGATGTGAAGCAAGCTCTGTGGTGTCAGCACAGAGCCCGACACAGGGCTCGAACTCACAAACTGAGATCATGACCTGAGCCAAAGTTGGACTCTTAACTAATTGAGCTACCCAGTTACCTCTGCTGTTTGTAATTTTAAAGGAAAAAAAAAGAAACAGTTGATGGTGTGTGTGTGTGTGTGTGTGTGTGTGTGTGTGTAGTTAATGCTATAGACATTACAATCAGTGAGAAACATCTCAGTCAGGCAGTTTCTGGTACTAACTTGTGACATCAGAAATGCCGAGGCAAAATGTTTCAGACTGTCCAAGTTTGGCCAAGGGTATTTCATCTCTGACATATACTAATTGCCTCATGATTCAAAACACTTAATAGTCAATCCAATGGAAATAGAATTTTATCCAACCAGAATTTAGTGGGTGCTTCTGAGAAGAGCAGATGCTAGTGGTTAGTAGGCCAGGCACACTCGAGGAGAACATATTTATGAGTTCATGGTGAATATTTAAGATGCACATGAGATGTAAACACCAAGATTTCATGTCACAGTTACTTACCCCACCAATGGGACAAGAGCTGTTGGCATTATCACAGGAGTCTCCTGTGTTGACACAGTGTGGGCCAAGAATATTGGGGGACACATCTCCGAGGTTTGATGAAGCAAAGGCTGCCACATATGGTCCCTGCCAAAAGAAACAGCCAATTGCTTGTCATTCTTTCTTACTTCCTGTAATGAATTCCGTTAAAACTGCAAACATTCCATCCACTCTGGTGAACTCTTCAAATCCATTTGAATGCAATAGAAGGAGGAGGCATAACATCCTGAGAAAATTTCTGAAAAAATTTGCATTGCAGTCGGCATACCTAGTATCACTCACGATATTCCAAAGATCAATACAGCTGTTTCAAGTAGGACAGTTTCAACCCTGGACCACTAACAGAAACACTTTGACAAGAAACGCAGCATATAACAATACATTATAAAACGCTGACTCATCAAACTCTCCTCTGGTATCGTATCTGGAGCTCAGAGGTCCATTTCTCCTTAAAAAATAAATATGCTACTGGCTTAAAAAGAAAATATGAATCCAGATTTTCCTGTGGCAAAAGTGAACCTAAGTGAATGCTAATTCACCATCCAGGTCTACCTCCATGTATCTTTTCTTTTAGCTCTTCAACCTGAAGTAACAGCACATAGCCCTTTAGTGGTGCAAGACTTTAACCTCAACCCCGCTGCTCTAACTCCACCTTCCATGTCTTCAATTTTCTTAGAGAAAGAGATAAGCAGGTATTGGAGATCATGTGTCTTATTTTTTTACACCAAAAAGATAACTTATCTCAAAGTGCCTAGCACCCAACCAGTGATCATAAATGGGAATGTCCTTTCTTTTCCCTAAAACACAGGCTAAAATTAAAAAAAACATTGTTTTGTCAACAAGGAGCTAAAAGGTCACACCAAATGTGAATGGGGCTAACAACTTTTGTATCACTGCACTTTTTAGACATTTATCCTAGTCAAGGGCCTGGGCTCTTCTCATATTCTTTGGCATTTGGGACTCGGACCCTAGGATCAAACAGAGCAGGGTCCCTCCCCTCAGGAAACAGCTTAGTTATCTGTAATCAGTAATTTACACAGAGCTGAGGAGATTTCTGAGGCACATGGACTGAGTTCTGGTACCCATCTCTGATTCCATTCCTCATCGCATTTCAAAGTTATAATAACAAGCCTGGTGGATTAGGGTTGTCTCTCACTTGGGCCTTACTAAAAGAAAGTATGAAAACTCCTTAAAAGGAAATCCGCCACGAACAGGGAAATCTGGACCAGCGAGAAAGATTCAACACCTGTCCCATCCTCATTCAGGTTCTTAACACTACTCAGAAGGTACTTAATACTTTGATAGCTCTGAAAAGAAAAGTAAACATCAACACAGTTTATCATATTTCCAAGTCATTCAAAAAAGAATTATATATTGCAAAAATCTTGAGCTTGCCCTTCCCTCTCCAGCTAATTGTAATTTTATGAAGCCACCAATATAAGTAGTATTTGACACAGTTAGTCACTTTTAATTTTTCTTTCCTTCTCAGGGAGGATGGAGAAGTTTTTTTATCCAAGCATACTAGTACATCACGTGCTTAATGACACTTTACACTGAAGACTTGAATCAGCCATCTGGGCATTGTATGAATGATGATATAATGAATTAAGATGGTGCTTCCAATGACACAAATTCTCACCTGTCCAGGCAGATATCCTTTGTTCTTCTCTTGCTCAAAAAGGTAAGATGCATAGCCCATGTTGTCACTATTGACAAGATGATTGGTATTGTTCATGCTGACTGGGTGGATGGCAAACCAGCTGTAAAAGAAAAGAAGCCCTCAGCTAATGAAGAGAACCAGATAATGGAGCCAAAAGCAATGTCTGGGAGCTTCCATTTTCTCCAGCAGGAAAAAAAAATTTTAATGATAGACATTCCACACTTAGGTTCTTTCACTCATGATGAGCTCAATGATATACTAATGATATAGTCAAAAAGTCTAGTCAATTACTTAAATTAAAAAAACAAAACTATTTTCATAACTATTGTATCTTCACCATCACCATCTTCATCATATGCTTTTAACAAGAGCCAAGAATGATCAGTGATCAGACGTCACACCTAACGCATTGTATGGGTGCAGATTTTGTCCTTCAAGATAGGTGCACATAATAATTCTTAAAGTCAATCCTATCTAATTCAGAGGACATTTACTGAGACTCTGCCATGTGCCAAGTACTGAATACACTGCAGCTGACACCCAGGATCAGACAAAGATGTAAACAAATGACTTTAATACAGTGCAACACATGTTATAAAGAAATAGGCATAAAGTGTTTGGGGACCACAGATGACTAGCAATTAATTCTTAAGGGCACCCCAGGGGAAAGAAACACCATAGTAAGTGCACAGAGGTGTGAAAGAGGCTATTATGCATAATTTGATGTAGCCGTATGCATAGTAATACCTTGTTTAAGTATAGAGCTACAAGGTCCGCAAACTAATTTCACATCTCTTACCTTACTTGAACTTCACAACATCCCTGGAACAAAAGCAGTTATTACCTCTGCTCAGCAAGGTGTCTCAGAGAAGCCCAATAGTAGCTCATTTGTCATCAAGGACTAAGACTAAAGTCTGGGTCTTGGGACACCTTGTCCAGTGGCCTTTGGAGGATCAAACATCCACGGGTAAAAAAGATACTCACAGAATGGAAGGCTGGAAAGCAAATTAACTAGAATGGATGCTCAAGAAAAGAGAGGCTCTAATTTAAAAAAATCTTTTGTTGGTTTGATTATTTGCTGAAAACTCTAAATATTTCACCTTACCTTCCAACCTAAGTAATACAGCACACGAAACTGAACATTTACTTACTGACTAGGGATGTTTTTAAACTTCAAGGTCATCATTCCAGATTCAGTTCTCATTGCCCAGTAGGTGCATATATAAGTCAGAGATTAGCAGTACAATGCCCACAAGGCCTGGGTAGGCAACACAGATGAGTTAAGCTGATTGGTGCTATGGGGATGGGTGTGGACCGCGGACACCTGGAGGCACTTGCATGGGTCTCAAGATTGTAGCCTCTATGATGCTGCTGCCAAATGTTGCCTCTTAAGAGTAAGCTAGGGCTGCCAGATCTTTGAGAAATCCATGTTTTTGTGAAATATTCTGATTTAAAAACTTTTTAATTTTATTTTTCGAGTTTATTTATTTTGAGAGAGAGGAAGAGCATGTGTTCACATGCATGCATACCTGCATGTAAGCAGGGGAAGAGCAGACAGAGAGGGAGAGAGAATCCCAAGCAGGTTCCATTCTCAATACAGAGCCTGACTTGGGGCTCAGTCCCACGACCCTGGGATTATGACCTGGACCGAAATCAAGAGTCAGATGCTTAACCGACAAGTCACCCAGGTACCCCTCAATTTAAAAACTCTTGAAGTAAATGGGGGCGCCTGGGTGGCTTAGTCGGTTAAGCATCCGACTTTCGCTTAGGTCATGATCTCGCAGTTCATGGGTTCAAGCCCTGCATCGGTCTCTGTGCTGACTGCCAGCTCAGAGCCTGGAGCCTGTTTCAGAGTCTGTGACTCCCTCTCTCTCTGACCCTCCCCTGCTCACGCTGTCTCTCTCTCTCTCCTAGAAATAAATAAAACATTAAAAAAAATTTAAAACCTCTTGAAGTAAATGGCATGAGAGGAGAGGGGTGAAGGTTGGGCAAAATGGGTGAAGGGGAGTGGGAGGTACAAGCTTGCAGTTATGGAAGGAGTACGTAATGGGGGTGAAAGGTACAGCATAGGGAACAGAGATAATGGTCTGTGTATAGGGTTGTATGGTGACAGATGGTAGCTACGTGTGAGATGAGCTACGTGTGAGATGAGCATATGTTTATAACATATAGACAAGTTGGAACACTGTGTTGTACACCTAAAATTAATATAACATTGTGTGTCAACTATGCTCAAATAAAAAAAATTTAAATTAAAGAAAAAAGAGAAGTAAATAGCATAGAATAAAAGGAGGGGAAATCTTACCAATTAAGAGACTTAATACATATAGCCAACAAATGTAGTTGGTGGACTATTTGGATGCTGATTCAAATAAAACAATTATAAAAAGATCTTACTGATATAATCAGGGAAAACTGAACTTAGACTAGGTTTTAGGTCATATTAAGAAACTATTTTTAATTTTGTTGATCGTGATCATGGATTGTAGTTATATTTTTGTGCATTTTCCACTGGTAGAGATATACACTGAAATACTTATGAGTGAAATGATTTGCTATCTGGTGTTTGCTTTTAAAACTCTAACAAAGCAGGGGCGCCTGGGTGGCTCTGTCAATTAAGCGTCCAACTTTGGCTCAGGCCATGATCTCACAGTTCATGGGTTTGAGCCCTGTGTCAGGCTCCATGTTGACAGCTCAGAACCTGGAGCCTGCTTCACATTCTGTGTGTGTGTGTGTGTGTGTGTGTGTGTGTGTGTATGTGTGTCTTCCCCCCCCCACAGACTCTGTCTTTTTCTCTCTCAAAACATAAATAATGATTAAAAAAGAAAATGAAAACTCGAGCAAAGCAAACCAAAAGGAGAAGAGGGATGAAACAGGATGGCAGAATATTGCTAATTACAAAGCTGGATAATAGTTACATGGAGACTTAGAGACGAATCACTCTAAAATGGCATATATTTAAAATTTCTATAATAGTTTTTTTCATGTTGACCTCCAATTTGGATTTTTTTTAAATGTGTTAAACCAATCACCAGTCTATAAGCTGAATTCAGTCCCCAAGGTATGTATTGCCACTGTGTTAAGGAACAGAAGTTGAGGCTAAAGAGTAGTTCTAAGTTCATATCCTAAAGTTACTTGCAAATTTTCTCTATTTAAAAAAATCCTTTACTAGTTTCCTTTTTGCAGATATGGTTTGTTTTCTTCTCCTAAAATTCAAGTGCCAGAGAAAATTCTAGTCAACTAGTATTTTTCAGTTAGTTGGAAGTCAGTGTTTTCACAGTATTACTCCATTTAGTTTAGAAGGAAAATGGGGTGGTGGCCATGAAGTTCCCTTGGCTCCCCAACCAATATACTTCTGCCTAATATGATTGCCCTGAGGTCAACCAGCTTCAGCCAGGCTGCAATCTCTCTAGCTCAACCAAAGGAAACTCGTAAAACTATTTTATCAACATTGACCATCATTTAGCACTGATGAGGTGAGGGATTTTATACACAGGATCTCATTTCATCCTGACAAGAATGCTTGGAGTCAGATGCTATCATTGTCCTTATTTTACAACAAAGGAAATGAAGTCTCAGAGTGATGCGGTAAGGGGTCTAAGGTCACACCCACTGTAAGTCAAGAAGCAGGTCTGAGAGTCCAGGTGTCGGACCACAAAGCCCAAGTTCTTATCTGCTGTGGGATCCTGGCTCTGTCCCCTCTGTTCATTCACCTGCTCGTGCAATACACAGTTAACTTTGATTCTGGCCCAGGCCCAGAGACATGGAGATGAGCCAGGAGGCACCTTGCCCTTGAGAAATGAGAGAGGATGTGATATCTGAGCTGGGTCTTAAAAGATGAGTAGGAACTTGGCAAAGGGATCCCTGGAGAAAACACATTTGTAGCAGAGGCCTGAAGACGTGTTTGGAGGATGAACGGTCATTCCGGCCACAGCATAATGGATGAAGGCAAGGAGAGATGACAACTGTTCTTTCATTCAATCAACATGAATTTATTAGCAGCCAGCATGTGGTTGGCATTGTGTTAAACCCCAAGGAACATCAAGAGGGATCAGGGGTGTTCTCTGCAATCAGGGAACAACAATATCTATAGAGAAAGCAATTGCTAAGAATTTTAGTCTGCTAATTAGACTACAGACTTGAATTCTAATTGATTTCATGTATTTCTTTGCATTTGCATTTATTTTAGGCCTTGGAAAACTAATTGAATGTTTTTTCTCTACAAAACTGAAAAAAAAAAAGCATTCAAAAAAGTTATTTGAATCTCAGAATGAGAAGATGCTGTATTTTTCCTCTGCTGGCCTTTGAAATATGTGCTATTAACATATCTGGCTTGTCACAGCCACCAAAGTTCTATGGTAATAGATGAATATTCATAAAGATATGCAGAAAGTTTGTTATTTTAATTTAAGGGAGTGGCACTCACAATTTATTTTATCTGGTCAAAACAACATTCTTCCAGGCAAAGTTCAAAAGAGAGAAAGTAAGGTTGAAGTAGTTTCAAAAGAAGTTAGCCTAACGGCACAAAAGGATACATATGTCCCTGTTAATAAACATTTCTAAATAATGATTACATCACAGCTAAAGCAGGGCTGTGCTTGAGTCACATAATGTAATCAAAGTACTGTGGAAGGTCCGGATATTTGAGATTTTTATCCTATTCTGTAGCAAGTTAGTTAAAATTTCTAAGTCCCTGTTGCCTAAAAAATAGTACATTTCGACTGTGCTCTGTGAATCAATAAACATCAAAGTAATATAGAATGTTATAATTCTTCTCTCCTCCTAGGTAATTGAAGCATTTTCTAGGGCCTCTTTTAATTTGGACACTATGCACTTCCTACTCTGAAGCAGAAAAGAAAAGTCAAATGCAAAACTGAGCTTCTTCAGTATTCTACAACAGTAACAAACCCACCCCAAGTTCTATTCTCTCAAACCCGGGCCATCATGCATAGGATGCAGGTTATGCCCTGCATGAAGATGAGTTGCAAAGGGGGTAAGGAGGTGGAAACCCAGCCCCCACTCAGTTCACGGAGCTAAACACCTTTGCCCAGAGAAGAGAGGGGCTTTGTAAGTTCTGCACCATGGTCCTATATGCTATCA